AACACACACACACACACACACACACACACACACATACACACACACCCCTACCTCTTTCAAAACTACCATCTATGGATAACCTATCAGTTAATAATTTTAGTTCTGTCGTCCATCTCAATAAGTGAGAAACACCCAGTAAGTAGTTTTGTGTTGCATTTTCTTCAAAACATAACACCAAAATCTTTTCTCAGATTTTTGAAAGTTACTGGAAAAATGACTTTTGTGTTGTGGCAGAAGGGCCACACCATGGAGTACTACTTGATAATGAAAAGGAACAAGCGACTGATACATGAAACAAGAAAGATGAATTTCAAAACAATTATTCTGAGTGACAAAAGAAGTTGACCACGAGTCACAGAATTGTGGGAAGTGTAGGTGTGGGTAAGATGGGGGGACTATGGTAGCTGGATTTTGTCAATTTTTTTTTCTTTTTATTATCTGAAAATTTCTGTCTATGAAAAGGTGAATTTTTCAAGGGGATTTTGAAATTTGTATTTGCCAGCCCTTTCCTATTAATTTCATAAAAATGTCTGTGGTTTCCTTTTCTTCCTCTTTGGCATTAGAAGCTATGCATTCTGAATTTACTCATTTACATTTTTTATTAGAGCTTTATGGGTATATAGAGTAGTTGGGTTCATCTTGACATACTCACACATGCACGGAAATCAACTTCAGCTTATGATTCTCTTTTCCTTCCCCTTTTCTCTCCCATCCTCTCCCTCCCCTTTCTCCTTGCTCTAGTCTACTAGACTTGATTTTGCTCCAGGGATAGATACTTTTGATGTGTCCAAGCTTTCTCCTGGGCTGACTGTGAAGTTCGCAGAACCAGAACAAGACAGGCTTGTGATACTGGACACCGGTTCCTTTTGCAGAGTTGCCTTTCTCTACTCATGTGAAGTATTAGGTGCCCCAGGATCCAAAGAGTCCCTTTTCTCTCTCTCTCTGCGGTTTCCCTCAGGGGAATCTGACCCCAGACCTTTTCATCAGATAATAGTTTTTCCCTTAATCTCTTTTTTCTATTGCTATACCTGAATACCACAGACAAATTTATGAGCAATGGAGATTTGTTAGCTCATGGTTCTGGAGGTTAGGAGATCCAAGAACCCAGAATCTTCCTGGCATCTGGCTCAGGGCCTTCTTGTTGTGGCATAGTAGTGTGGAGGACAACACACACGGTAAGACAGAGCAATCACAGCAGAGAGAGCTCACCTTTATACCAAAGCCACCCTCTGTACCACCCATTAATCTTTTAATCCATTTATGAGGACACAGCCTGATGACCCAGTTACCTCCCCAAAGTTCCACCTCCAAATTCCATGTGAATTTGGAGAATAAATTCCCAAACATGAAGTGCAGGAGACACATTCAAATCTTACCTATATATAGACAAACAGACACACAGACAGACACAGAGATACTAGTAACTCCTCCCCCCTTTTTTGGGGAGGGGTCTCTAGGCTGCATCTCTCCTTAGAAGTACAGACCCACATGAACAACCTCCTATTTGAGTCCTCTAAATACATGACTCTAAAGAATCTCAACCATATCATATGCAAAATCAGTTCCATGGATCTTCCCTGTAAGACTCAATTGTCTTTCATTGTTCCTCATCTTAGCGAATGGTACCACATTCCCATATGCACACAACAGACACCAGGAAGTTACCCGTGATGACGCATTTTTCTTCACCTCATGTCTGATCCATCACCAAAAATCCTTCCTGTTCTTTCTCTGCACCACAATCTTCCCGATCCCAGCCATCATCATCTCTCATTTGAACTCCAGACTTCTCACTGTTCTACCAATATCCATTCTCAGGGCTAAGTCAGACATATGGTCTAAATTCCTATCCTGCCTTGCCTTGCCCACACAAAATCCAATAAAGTTTGGTGTCTACTCTTTCACTCCTTTCTGCCCCCTGTTGGACACTGGGGCTTTCTGGTGTGGACTTGCATGATATGGCATGCACCCCCTCTTGGAAAATGCAAGGGAAATCTTTCAATAACATTAGCCTCTGCATGCCATCATGCACTCACTGCTATCCATTAAAATATGGTAGAGTTCTACAAGTACAGTGGAGACAATCATGTTTATCACTTGGTGACCCCCACACCACCATGAATGGCAAGCAAACCTCATGAAGGCAAAGGCCTGTGTTTGTCTTGTCCCCTGATTTCAGGTGCCTAAAACTGGCTGGAATATAGCTGAATTTTAATAAATAAATGTTGAATGAATGAGTCCTGCTCCTCATTCTGACACTCATTCAGACTTCGAGATGTCTTGAAACAGAAGTTTTCTCATTCTCCTGCATGTTCCTTGGCTCTTGCTCACTGTCATTCAATTAAAAGCTCAAGAATTCTTTAATCTGATTCATGTAAGTTAGTCCACAGCATTTAGCTTAAGAACTTAGGTCCCCAGAGTTCTTAAGGTAGCCCCTGAAGTTCTAGGGTCACCACTGGATCCTGTTCTCAGAGCAAATGTGAGAGCTCTTTGAAGTATCGTATGAGGGGTTCCTCAACTATGGACTATAAGGGCTGTGGCCAACAAAGAGTTGGGGCCCTGGGTCCAGAACTTTGCTCTGACCCAGACTCTGGGTAACTTGGTGCAAGTAAATCACCCATTATGGAAGGCATCCAGTGCCATCTTCCCAAGTGTGCAAGCGTAGGGGTGACAAATTGGCATGGATTACCTTGTAACCAGCAGCTGACTTCTCATGATCTCCATCAGCTGTGTGCATTCATGGTCCATCTTTTGGTTCCCAAACATAATTGTAACTCTTCAGTATTATTACTCTTCCCAGTCATCTTTCTGAACCCTAAGACAAATCTCAGTGCTTAATCTTCACCTTTGAAGATTAAGACATACCTAAGACATACCAAGCTGTGAAACACTCTTGGTTTTGATTAGAGAGATTCCACTTCTCTTTAGAGTGAGCATGTTCTTAAGTATGTTTTAGGCCCAACTCACATAAACTCACTTTCTTTTCACTTATACAAATGTAGTGGTGGAATTTCAGCATTCTCTTGAGTCAAAGAAGATTTTGTTCTGATAATAGTAACTGGCATTATGGAGCAAAGCATGTTTTACCTTTTATGATCCTTATAATAGATATATCTAACTTTACAAATGGGGAAATGAAGACCCAGAAAAGTGATTTGTCTTGGGTCACACAGCCAGCAAGAAAGGAGTTCAAACTGAGGCATTCATTCATCTCCATGGTCTATCTACTTAGCCACTTACCTAGGTTGCCTTTCTGGACTACGGAACAAATAACAAAACTCTACTGTCATTGTAACTAACAAGAATCAGTAAAAAAAAGAAAAGAAATTCTTATGAACTTAAACCCATTATATTTCCTAATTGTACATTTTATAAAAACTTTATGTTTATTATGTTCATGACACTAACTCCCTTGAGCCACATATTGATGGTGAGATAATCATTTTTATGATGAATCAGAAAACAGATGTACACATAGGCTGCAGCGAAACTGAGGAAGTCAAGGGCAAGAACTGGGTTAAAACTCACAGCCTTGGTAACCAGGTATGTTCATCAGCCTCCAAGACTTCACATGTTCCACTTGATTTTTTTTTTAATTTCATGGAGGTGTTCAGGAGCTGAAGGCAGAATCAGGCTTCCGTCCTGGATAAAGAGGTAGTAGCTTAGATGGCAAATTACTTCATAGACATTTTAGTACAGGTAGCAGCAGGCATGTTGGAGGATTCTAAGTTCTGCCCATTAGTATGCAGACATGCCATCAGCTGCCTAAATCATTTTCTAATAAACCAGGTCTTCATTACATCCCAGTTGCCCAAAGTGTATTCTCCTTGTCAGACACAGATTTTTAAAAGCAGTTCAGTCTTGAGCCACTTTAGCTAACATGGATTTCTCCCTCCCTATTCATTTTCACTTACTTTCTGGTGTATCTCTTTTTTCAATATATTTGAAAAAGATTTTATTCCTTTAAATCCCTTTTGCTCTTTTTAGCACTGTCAGCAATTTTGCCAACCTTCTCTCTTTCCTCTGGTCTCCCAGAGTCTGTTGTTGGCACTTCCGCAGTTTATTGGCAGCATGTTTTTTTGACAAGGCATCTTAAAATCTAAATGAATGCTTCTTGTTTTAAAATTTCTTTCTCACGGGAGCACTAGACAGCTGCTTTTCCACAGACCCTTTCCCTTGTCCTCAATCTTCTACCAGTATCCATGCTATAATATAAAACAGTCAAAATTCAAAATGTGAATATCAATCTGCACAGAATTAAATTAATTACAAAGAAAACATTTTGAGAAAATAGTAACATGGAAAAAATGTTCAGGCATAAAAATATAATTTCCCTACAATGCAGTTCAATGAAAGCATTGTCACAATTATTAATAACCTTTTGGGGCCACATACGTTTCACTTTCCAATTCAGTTAACTCCCTAAATATAAAGAGGTAGATAATTCTCAAAAATCAAAAAAAAAAAAAACAGAAAAGAAAAAATAAAGGGAAGAATGTTTTTGGTATTCTGAAATATCATCTTTGATCAAGCTCCAAAGGAAAAGAAAGAATTTTCTCTTTGAGTTTTAAATTGGACCTAACTCTAAATAACCAATATTTCTCAAACTGATGTACACTGACAGTTAAAGTTTCATAGATTTTCAGGTATTTGTTCAAGTTCCAGCTTTTATCCTTGACTTAATTGTAATTCACCCTAGATTTTAACAGCCTCTTTCAGAAATAACTGAACACATAATTTGATACCTTCATAATTTGGTACCATACCTGTTATTCAGCTCCAATATATTTTACTCTCTTAAAGGAAAGTTTGATTGCATTATAAAATAAAGGATGAAAACCTAAAAATGGATAATCAGACAGACTACATTATTTTGGTGGATTTACTTATTTCATGCCAATAATTAGTATTAGGAGCCATTTTAAATATCAGTGCACATGTCACTGGTAAATCCAGAATAAGGGTGCATAGAAATGACTGTGGAAAATTAGACTCTCCTTTTAACTTCATGTATTTATTTAATAAGTCTCTTCTGTGTAATGTAGTATGCTTCATCCAGGGAAGGATACAAACATTGTTGAGCTATGGTGAGAGGGATCTCTTAGAGCTAAGTCAGGTCTTGTCTTTCTTCTGCTCAAATATCCTGGTGGTTTTACCTCTCGTTAAAGGGTGAAAATCAAAGATGAAGAAACTAAGGTTTATAGAAATTGACCTGGAGACAACAATAAAGTTGGAAATCAAAATCCTGAAATGACTCCCTCACATCAAGCATCTTTCCAGCACAGTCTAGCGCCTTCTCATACTTCAATCTCTCTTCCATTTCTCCTTCTCTTTTAGGTATAGCAGCCCGACCATCCTTCTGTCTTAGGACCCCAGTAATTCTGTATTTCTGCTTGGATTGATTGATTGATTGATTTCTCCTCTTTCCTCTCCTCTTCTCTCTCTCTTGCTCTTCACTCTCCCCTCTTCTCCCCTCCCCTCCCCACCCTCTCCCCCTCTTTTCCTCTCTCCCCCGCTTCCCATCCCTAAAATGTCAGTAATTCCTTCCCAGATACCCAGTATAAAATAGCATTGCCCTTCCCCAGGGGTTGCCTCTATTCTTTACCCAACTCTATTTTCCTACATAGCATTTATCAGCAGCTCACAGAGTATTTGCTTGACTACATGTCTGTCCTCTGTATCTGTCCTCTGAAAGAGAAGCTGAATAATAAATTTTCCACTATATGCTTAGAACCTAGAGGAGGGCCAGGTGCATAATAGGTGCCAAGGAAAAAAAATTGCTGAATTAGTGAATGAAGTTACCCTCTCTTGCCTCTAAGACAAATAAATAATGAAGACGAAGCCTTGTTCCAAGAGAAGTGGAACCAGAGGGAAGGGTTGCAGACGGGCTCAGTATGAAACAAGACAAGCTTAAAGTTAGAAATTGAAATGCTGAATGTATTCCCAAGTGTCAGTGGTGTGGCTTATATTAGATCCCTGCCTGAAAAATGGGGACAGGAGAGGAGGCCAGATGCATGAGGCATTTAAAATCCCTCCCCTATCCAGTGATTGATGGTAATGATGCTTCCAGCAGCTCCCACTGCTGTCTGAGGCAACCATAATTTCAAGCATGTTAGACATTTACACTGGGAAATCCGGAAGGGCCCGAATGGATTTATGCCAATCAGAAGGCATCCATTTTTAAGATATTACAACTAAAGCAGACTTTTGTATGCATCCTACTGAGACAAATCTTCCAAATAGAGTTTACAGAATACCAAAGGCTGTCTACATGGACAGGACAGAGATACATACAGCTCTCTGGTGCTTGTGCTCTCGGGATTAAAAGGAACATTCAGAAATGCTACTAGCCCATCCAACCCTTAGTGTGAAGTCAGAAAGAGGCAGCCTTCCTCCCAGGAAGATGGAGTTCTGGACTCAGGTACTTACTTGATCTGTTTTCCAGTAACCCTTATACAGAGGACAGCTGTGAGTATGGCCCTAGGTAGCAGGGATATTTCAGAAGAGAATGAATCTGTTGCAGGCCCTGGCAACTTCTATTTCCAGAGATATCCACACCTCTGAGATTCCAGCTGTTTTGAGTTCCCCAGACTGAATAAAGGACTCTTAACAGCGACAAGGGTCCTTCTTCCCCAGCTCCTCCTACAGTGCGTGGATAACCCATAGGTGGACTCAGCCAAATCACCTGGTGTTTGAAGTCTTCCTATCCACTTTCCACTGCCCCCACCTGTCTCCAAGGCTTTTTATCTGCCAAGAAATTTATGTGCCAACTGAGGCCACAGGAGCATCATGGTGAGAGTCACTGTGAAGACAACCAGACAAGCATAGATTTCAGCAGAGTTGGCTCCTGTCATTGAGCACGTCTTTTCATTTCCATCAGCCTCAGTTTCTTCACCTTCAAATAAGAGCTAGTCAGCCTTAAAGAAAACCGAAATCATGGCATTTGCAAGCAAATGGATGGAACTAGAGAGCATCATGCTAAGTGAAATAAGTCAATCCCAAAAACAGGCCGAATGTTTTCTCTGATAAGCAGATGCTGATCCATAGTGGGAGTGGGGTAGGGAAGAATGAAGGAACTTTGGATTGTGCAGAGGGGAGTGAGCTGAGGGGTAGGGCTGTGGGATGGAAAGGACAGTGAAATGAGACAGACATTATTATCCTACCTACATGTATGATTGCACTACAGGAGTGACTCAGCACCATGTACAGCCAGGGGAAGGAGAAGTTGTGCTCCATTTGTGTACAATGTGCCAAGATGCATTCTACTGTCATGTACAACTAATTAGAAGAAAATAGATTTAAAAATGGGTATTAGTAGGAATGCCTTTCTCTGAGGATTGTTTAAAGTTTAAGTTGCAGAATGTACCAATATAGTAACCAAAAGATAAATTATAGTTTGTGTAAAATTATTAATATTAGCACATTTGATTGTATTTCATACTCATAGTCTAAATCATGTAAACGTCTAAGTTCTTTGCTCTGAAAAACAGTAATTCCCACTAATAATATACTTATGTTACAAGTGTAACTTACATGAGACTCATAACATATTGACCTCATAACATTTTACATATACTTAAAATTTAATGCATGTTTTTTTTCTGAGATATGTGTGTAAATATATATGTGTGCATATATATTTATATATGTACACACACATATATATACATATATATAATCTTATTTAGAATTTGCTTGTTATCTCTTTTTTTAAAATTTCCACATCTTTTCCAAGCTCTTTTGTTTTAAGTATATCTTTAAATAATACACCCTAGCTTTTTGAAATCCAATCTCAAAATTCTCTATTTTTAATTGCAAATTTAAGCCATCTGCACTTGTTTGGTTTAAAAAGTGCAATTGGGATTTATTTCTACAAACTTATTTAGTATTTTCTACTTACCATACTTTTTTCCCCCTGTTTTTTCTTCTTTCCTGCCTTCTATTGATTATTTTTATCTCATTCCTTTTCTTAAAAACTCTACTGGTTTGAAAGTTTTATTAAAGGTTATGTTTAAATTTTCAGATTGTATGCTTGACCTAACAAAGTCAAAAGTTGATCATTCACTTCTTTTTCAGAACACTTTTCTTCCCCTCTTAAATGCTATTTTTGTTCATATTTTGATTCACCTCACTACTCTGTCCCTCTGACAAATGTATAAATCATATTTTTGTGCAGTCAGTGGTTATTTATATTGGCCAATCTTTATGAAGTTTCTGACTTATGATTGTTTCTTACCTCCCAATCATTCCTCTGGCGTTGACTTTCTTTCTTATGAAGTTCATTGCTTAGTTATTCACTTCCGGGCCTCATGGTGTTAAGACCAGCACCATCAGCCAGTCACTGGGGCACCAATTCATCAGCTTACAGCTCTGGTTTTCCAATCCACATTCTATCTTCACAACTGTGGAATTTCACTTCTCTTTCAAGCTCAATAAGCATTTATTTATTTTTTATAAGTTAAATCAACTTTTATTTTTAGTTTTTAAATTAATTTTGTATTTATATATGACAGCGGAATGCATTACCATTCTTATTACACATATAGAGCACCATTTTTCATATCTCTGGGTGTATACAAAGTATGTTCACATCAACATCTTCATACATGTCTTCATACATGTACTTTGGATAATAATGATGATCACATTCCACCATCATTTCTAACCCCATGCCCCCTCCCTTCCCCTCCAATCCCTCTTCCCTATCTAGAGTTTGTCTATTCATCCATGCTCTCTCTCACTACCCCACTATGAATCATCCTCCCTACATCAGAGAAAACATTCAACATTTGGTTTTTTGGGATTGGCTAACTTTACTTAGCATTGTCTTCTCTAACTCCATCCATTTACCTTCAAATGCCATGATTTTATTCTCTTTTATTGCTGAGTAATAATTATTCCATTGTGTATATATGCCACATTTTTTTAATCCATTCATCTATCGAAGGGCATCTAGGTTGGTTCCATAGTTTAGCTACTGAGAATTATGCTGCTATAAACATTGCTGTGGCCATGTCCCTGTAGTATGCTGTTTTTAAGTACTTTGGGTTTAGACCGAGGAGAGGGAGAGCTGGGTCAAATGGTGGTTCCATTCCCAATTTTCCAAGGAATCTCCATACTGCTTTCCATATTGACAGCACCAATTTGCAGTCCCACCAGCAGTGTATGAGTGTACATTTTCCTCCACATCCTTGCCAACACTTATTGCTGTTTGTCTTCATAATTGTTGCTATTCTGATTGGAGTGAGATGAAATCTTAGAGTGATTTTGATTTGCATTTCTTTAATTGCTAGTGATGATGGACATTTTTTCATATGTTTATTTATTGATTGTATATCATCTTCTGAGAAATGTCTGTTCAGGTCCTCGGGCCCATTTATTGATTGAGTTGTTTGTTTGGTGTTAGTTAGTTAGTTAGTTTGTTTGTTTGTTTGTTTATTCTGAAGATTATTGCTCTATCTGATGTGTGAAGGGTAAAGATTTGCTCCCAAGCTGTAGGCTCTCTATTCACCTTACAGATTATTTCTTTTGTTGAGAAGAAACCTTTTAGTTTGAGTCTATCCCATTTGGAAAGATCTACCTTACTCTTGGATAGGCAGAATTAATATTATCAAAATGACCATACTTCCAAAAGCACTATACAGATTTAATGCAATTCCGATCAATGACTGTACACCATGATGATTTTACTGTTATGTTCTTCTTAAAGTTCATAGCCAAAGCACCCTTAAACCTTTGCTCCTTTTCCCAGGTATTGGGTACACGGATATAATCCTAGTGATTTGTGAGGCTGAGCCAGGAGGATCACAAGTTCAAAGCCAGCCTCAGCAATTTAGTAAGGTCCTAAGCAACTTATTAAGACTCTGTCTCAAAATTTAAAAATAAAAATAAAAAGGTTTGGGGATATGGCTCAGTATTAAAGAGCCCCTGGATTCAATCCCCAATACCAAAACAAAACCTCATCTGTAACTTTTTGCCCTAGGCACCTTCCAGCTGCTAAGGGTAGCACAGGGTACCTATCACAATTATCATCCCCAAGTGGTTACAAATAAGCCTTTTTATAATGATTTAGAATTCTAGACTTTAACTGGGAACCAAAGTTTTGTACATTATTTTGTAGAATTTGTTTTTAAGACTTGGGCCAACATTGATCAATACATTTTGCTATCACCTTTGTTATTCATCAGATGTTCTCAAAAAATATTGATAGTAGTGTGAAATTATGTCTGAAATTATTTCAATACTCAAATAAATACTTTTCAATAACCCAAACTATTGAAATTATTCCAAGAGGCTAATTATGATTTTATTGTCTTTGCATTAAATACCCTTTATTGATGACTATTCCACCTTTTCTATTTGAATTTTGACTCTTTGGCAGAGAAAATGTAAACAAAATAACAGTTAAACAATCCCACAAAGACATGACCTATGTTTGCATCCTCAGAGTAATATTTCTTGTTCTTGTAACAAATTTTTATTCAGTGCCGCCATGTTCTAGGAACCATTCCAGGGACCACAAATACTAGCAAAAAAAAAAAAAAAATTGATAGAATCTCCAGATTTCCTCTTGCCCATAGCATGTACGGGGCACAAATAATTTTGCCACTCTGAACTCTCTGGCAACTGTCCCTGGGGGGCTCTAGCAAATCTTCCCAGGCTTTTCTAACCTGCTCCTGCCAATTCTGTCACCACTGCCAAACACATCTACGGATATGCACAGCTCTCAAGGCACCTGATGAAGGTTCTGGGTCCAATCCCCATGCTTTTGCTGTGTGACTTCTACCTAGAAAGACCACCTCCAACCTCTGAGTCCCACCAGTAACTCAAAGCCCCTGCTAATTTTATCTCTAGGTCACTATGATTTGCCCTAATACAAATGCAGGTGTTCTTTTCATGCTATATCATTATACTTTGGATCATACCTCTTACAATCTGCTTTGGATGTGGTTAAGGAGTCAAAATCTGGAATTAACAGACTCTTTCCCTTTTACATCTTTGAATTCTATATGGCACTGAAACACTACTATGCACAAAATAAGTTCTCAAATAATTTTTGATAATGTGAATGATGACTCCATTTTTTCTGTTGTATAAGTTATTTATTCAACTATTTATTCATTTATTCAAAAAGTATTTAATTAGGGCCTACTAGATGCCAGTTATTTTCTCAAGAAATTGAGGAAACATAGGTGAACTAAAAGGGCAAAAACATCTTTTTTCTTTTTAAACCCGGTTTTAGAATTACTTAGGTTAGAGTTGATGAAGAATCACCTGTCTGCAAGGATTAATAAGACTCTGGGGCATATTACTAAAGGAAGTGTTAGAGTTTCTTACAGAGACTATTCCCTGCAGTTGACTTTCTGTCTAGAATTATCCAAATGAATTCTTCCCTGGAGGCAGGGGCTTGAAGGGTTTTATCTGAGACTGTTCCTTTAGTTCTTCAGATTTATGAATGAATATGCACGAGGACAAACAACCAAGTCTATTCTTCTGTCCCTTACTTATTCATTCAAACAATGAAGCCAGAGAAAGATGTCTACAAAAATCATTCGTCATGGGAATTGTAGTAGGTTTAAGACTTCCATCAGCCCTTTACCCCTCATCTAAAGTAATCTATTTTTCCAGGAGCTGAAAGCATTTAACAACCTAGAAAGGTCAATTCTCCAAAAAGGATCGCGCCACAATATCTAGATTGCTAGCATTTTGTGAGAAGGGGAGATACAAGGTAATTCTATAAGGGGGGAAAATGCCTCAAATAGCAGAAAACTCAAATTAACTTTTTATCCCCTCCAGAATAGTACTGTGAGAATGTCAGGAAGCTTGGCCAAAATGTAAAATGTATGAAACAGACCATGGGAAAGTCTGAAATCATAAATGACCACTTTTAAAACATGGGATGGGAAAAAAATCTACCTTAGGTTTTGTTTTGTTTCCCCTAGTCCCTACAAAATAGAATTTTTAATGCTCATAGTTCATTTCCTTTAAAACATGATTTTAAAATCTCATAAAGATGGAGAGAGGCTGAATCACTAAGTTAAATGACTCAATATTAAAGATGCTCTTCATGCATCAGAAGCCAAGTGCCTATGCCCAGATGATCCTCCCGCCTCCTCCCCACACCCCTTCCACTCTCCCACCTTTTCCCATCTTCATGCAGGGCCCTTGGAGAAGCAAGCCCCCAGAGAGAACCTTTCTTAAAATGACCAGGCCATTTGCAGAAATTACAGTCCCAGAGTTTCACCATTCATAATTCTTATATATTCTCAGAGGAGCTTTAATGTTATTTTTCCAATTGAATGACTTCAAATGGCCCTTATTTCAGCTTTGCTGAGGTCAGAGAAATTTGTTGCCTCTGACTACTGCTTTACTCAGATGCCTAAGTGAGAGATGCCTAAGTGAGAGTTTAAAGAAAACTGTCTTTCTGTACTTATTACTCAGAGAATCCCGGAAATCAGTCTTGGCCAGGAAATGCAATTTACATAGGAGTATAAAAGCTTTGTCTCTGAGCAGCTGAAGGAAGAATAGCACAATTGGGAAGGCTTTCACATTTCCAGGGTTTCAGGAAGACCAGATCTTCCCCCCTGGCTGCTCAAGGATCTGTTTCCTGCACCAGTTAGGCTATTCGGATGCATTAACACCCCTCCATGCCCACCACAAGAACAGACCCATCATTCTCCTAGAAGATAATGCAAACTTTAACAGCCAGAAGGTTAAAGCTAACCCAGAACAGAAGATTCCATGGAAGTTTTTACCTTTACCTGGGCCCCTGGCAGTCAGCCCAGCCATGAAAGAAATGTTGCAGGGAACCCAGTCAAAAAGGATTATAGAAGGAATGAGCTATGGGGGAAGAGATTGTGTCTAAGGCCCCTGGCTGAATAAGAAACTAGGCCGGTGCTAAAAGGAGAGCAGCTGCCATCCCACAAAAGCCCTGAGGCCTTCATGTATTTTAATAGGATTTTAGCAAAGGCTTGCCCTGGTCTTAAGTTGGTTTATCATTTACGATAACCCATCCTTCATCATAAATTCAAACACATCCCTTCAGATTCATTGACATTTGGGGAGTGTGATCTTATACTCCCTTCATTCAACAAACCTTATGAAAGGCTTACAATGTGGCAGGCACTTGTCCACACTCTGAACTCCAGCCTTGAAACCAGAAAGACAAGAACTTGGCTTGCATGCACCTTTCCATTCTAATGTGTGAGCTTGTGGGGGATAGGGAGAGACAGTAATTTCCCCTTACCCCAGTGGACGCCTGAAACCACATAGTGTCTAACCCTACATACACTACTTCTTTCCTACACATGCATATAGTACAGTGTAGACGGGCTGCATGAGGGACAGATAGTTCATGCACCAGGCCGGATGGAGTGGGATGACATCAGATTCTGTCATGCTGCTCAGAACAGCACAGAGTTTGAAACTTATGAATTGTTTATTTTGAAAATTTTCCATTTAATATTTTTCAGCTACAATTGACCATGAATAACTGAAATTATGAAAAGCAAATGGCAGATAAAGAGATTCTATGGTATAGAATAAAGAAAAATACTACTAAAGTAATTTTTTATACTTTTCAATTAAGCAACATACAGCTTCACCATGGAGGGACTAGAATAAGGATGAGGACTTACTCTGTTGTCATTTTGTTTTAATTTTTTTTTTCTTGGCTGAGCTATCAGAAATGGTCTTGTAAATGTAAAGATGACCTTTGAACTTGGATGTCAATGATAGACACCAGTCAGCAAACATATGGGAGGGGGTCAAGGACTAAGTTGGAGGTTACAAGAAATAGGATATTTAAGATGGAACTAAAAATTGAATTTAAATTTGATTAAAATATACAATTATGAAAATATCATATACATAAAACATATAAGCATAAAATATCTTTCACCAAAAATTATGGGGTTTTTTTTCAGTGAAAATGAATTCTGTTCCATAGTCTACTTCTCTTAACCTCTTTTATTAAAGATGTCAGGAAAATGGAGTGAGACCGTCAGTAAATTAAAATCCCTAACACCTGAGGTTCTCTTGACTTTGCCAGGTTGAGGATATGACAGCCAAAGGAAACAATAATTCAGCTAGATAGGAGAAACAAATTCAAGAGATCTATTGAGCAACATGTTAACTATACCTAATAACAACATGCTGTATATTTAAAAACTGCTGAGTAGGTTTTAAATGTTACCACCACAAAAAAATAAATAAATAAAATAAGCACACGAGGTGATGATGTTAATTAGCTTGATTGAGCCTTTCCATAATGTATATACAAACATCAAATTTGTACATACATATATATGTATACACACATCAAGTTTTATACCACAGTATATACAATTTTGTAATACACTATGTGTACAATTGTATACAATATATTCAATTTTCATTTGTCAATATAAAGAATTGATTAATTTTTTTTAAAAAAGAGCAAAGTCCCAGAAGTCAGCAGATATTTTACTGAAGTATAAGAATAAACATGATCTTTGTCTTTCAGGAGTTCAATAATAATAATAATAATTATTATTATTATTATTATTATTATTATTATTATTATTATTATACAAAACAAAACAAAGCAAAAAGATAGTAAAGGCAAGATATAATTACCACAAGAAAGGCTGCTAAAAAATTTCAGGATATAATGATTCATTCCAAAAGAAATAACAAAGGCATTTAAAACAAATATATTTAATATGGTACTATTCAAAGCCCATGGTGAATGACCTCTTGAGAATATATCCATTTCTGGTAAGAATTACAAGGCCTGAAAATAATATTACTAAGTTGTTTGCTTTTCAACTTAGCCAGCCAATTGCCTTAAAAGCACAATTTGATCCAGAATTGAGAGGCTGAATCGAATAATATCTAAAGTACATCTGATTCAAAACATATATTTAAAAAATTCTATTTTGCATTTAAAGATTAGTTTAAATATTTATATAAAAACTAAGCACAAAAAATAAATTAATCTTTGTTATACAGATTGTGTTCATTAAATATATATATCTATTGAGGATCTGCTAAGTGTTAGTTATTAAGAAAAAATCAAAACAAGGATATAACCATGTCTTTTGTCTGTTTCTTCTATGTTTGAGAAGACAAAATAACTACTGCACATGCAAAACTTGCAAGATAAACAACATCAGTGACAAAAAAAAAAAAAAGGATATGCAGCAATGTTCCCTGTAGTTTTCTGAAATTGTGAGCTATAAAACACTAACAGTGATGTTTAGTTGAAGGCAGTTTACCCAGTTAATTCAACATCAATTTAATGAAATGCATGATATTTATTTTGCTACGTAGTTAAAAAAAAATAAATGCTAAGTAAACACATAAGTGACTGTTCTCTGTGTTACTTGTATATAACCAACAAAACTTTAGCCCATTTTATCTTCTGTATTTTTGCATTCTTTAACATCTATAACCAATGTTCACAATTCTCTCAGAGCTCAGCTATGCATGCTGGCACCCCAAACACCTCATGTGCTTTATTTTACAGCAGGGTGTGGGTGTTATTACCCAACATTTAAGGAGTGCTCTTCTTCCTGGCCATCTTTTTCCATTGTTACCTTAACATGCAGTTTTCTTGGGAAGTCCCTCCACTTGGAGCCCCAACCTCAGCTCCTCTTGGACTCTTGCCCTGCTGGGGATGTGGACAGAAAGAAAGAGAGCTTGGTTTATCTTCCTCTTGTTATAAACCCACTAATGACAGTCAGTTAGAGCCCCATGCTCATGACCTCATTTAACCTTCATTAGCTCCTCAAGGGCTATCTCAAAACACAACTGCATCAGGGTGAGGATTTCAATGTGGATCTGGAGAAGTCCCATTTAATCTTAGCAACCTCTCCAAGGCAAGCCTTGGGTAACTTTTCATCAACTTCAGCCCCTCTTTCTTCACCGCCCAGCATCTCTCTCTCTGCTCCCCTCTCCATACCAGCCTGGCAAAATGTTCTGAGGGCCTGAAGCCCCTTGCTTGAAAGCTACAACTGGTCAAATTAACAAATGAGTAGGAACAGCTGAAATCCAATCCTTCCAGGTTTTACTAGTGGAGAAAAGAATAAAGCACAACATTGTATGTCTTAAATGAAATAGATATCATAAAATCATGAAGGGTTACAAAAACTCTGGTGTTTGAAGGCAATCTTCATGAACTTCACTCTGAAGTCAGCACCCCTTTGTTTTCTATCCAGTTGTGTACAAGCAGGCACCATGGTTTTGGGGCCTTGTACACTGTTAATTTAACCTTAGAGGTGAACCTCTTTAGGAAGAAATCCTCTTTGTTTGGAGGGTGGGGAGGTTGTTAGCTTCATGTGTTGTGTTTTGTTGTTGTTTGTATTTTCACCCAGACAAAAGTATCTGAATCTTCAATACTATGCAGGAAATACCTGATCCTCAGAGAAAGGGAGAGAGGGAGAGAAGAAGAAAAGGGCAGAGAGAGAGAACAGCATCTTCCAAGTATGCTCCACAGAGCTGTGGTCCTTGCACAAGAAATGTTTATACAAGTATAAGAAAGACATATGGTGGCCTGCAATATATGTCTCCATTTTGGTCATTCACAACAATGTAAACAGAGCAAAGGTCACTGAGAAATCATAACTTGAGACCTATAGAATTCTGGTTAACTCAATGTCTTTTGACAGTATTCTTTTTTTTTTTCCTGTCACTATGATAAGTATTGTTGATGATCATCAATTTCTATCTCTCCTCCTCTTCCAAGAAGAGCACATTCCCAGTCTACGGTCAGGCAGGATCATATGATTGGTTCTGGCCAATGGGACTGTTGGCAGAAGTGATCTGAGACAGTGAGACTTAAGATCAAAGCAACCTGGATCACTTGGAGGTCAGGCACCCTGGAGAAACATGCTACCTCAGCAAATTTTGCTTAAATAAAAATTAAACTGTGTTAAGCCACTGAAACATAAACCTATAGTATACTGATTGAGTGCCACCTAGTAACATCATCATTACATCATTGAGAATCATTACTGAAAAGTCAATAGCAAGAGAGATTCTTGAGGTAGAATAATTATTTGTCTATTTTTTTCTGGAAAAACCCAGATAGTGATTACTTTTAGCTTTATGTACCACACAGATTCTATTGCAATTAATCCATTCTGTCCTTGTAGGATGAAAACAACCAAAGACAATTTGTAAACAAATGGACATGACTGAGTTCTAATAAGACTTTAATTAAAAAAAAAAAAAGAACCTGGGTCTAGGAGCAATTAGTCTACAGTTTACCCAACTAATACAAGAGATATGAGATTTAACATATACTTACTAGGAGAAGTAGATACAGCTTACCCTCTGTGTTTAAATAATAAAAACTAAAATGGTTTACCAGAGATTCTGACACCTATTTTCAATTTTGCCTCAGTTAGAAATTTGAGTTGGATAATTCTGTATCAGTGTAGCCAAACACACAAAAAAAATTTCAGGGCCATCTGAGTCTTTTCTTCTATATTAGCTGTCTCATTCCTTTTCCATAGTTCAACCTGGAAGTGCCACTCAGGAGATATTTTTTATTTTTGTCTTTGACTTGACAAAAAAAAATGGGATTATTAAAGCATGTTCATATATACACACACCCCTCAATAGAAGGTTTCACCCCCCTTTTAATATGTTTTAGAAATGTTGGCTGCCTGCCTTCCTGTTAATTAATTTATCTAACACCACAGCTCTTTTTTCTATAACCCAGGTGCTCAGCCTGCCATTGGTGCCCTTGGCATCTGCCTGAATCAGTGTTTTCCTCTTCAGCCTCCTAGGTGAGGGGAATTGCATTTCATATCCAATGAGAATGGAAGATTTGTTTTCTGTTTGGATTCTTCAGTGAAATCAGCTTCTTCCTTTGCATAAAACATGATTATCCCAAAGCCTTCTGGGAAAGATGTCTTTCATCTGGCAGCAGCCAAGGACCATTCTTGTTTGATCACTTGATGGCTGGTAGCTTGGGACCCACACTTGCATCCAATTTAGGGAAGTCATAGCTCTGAATGTGAGGGGCTGTTTGGGGCTGTGGTGATCAGAGAGACTTCATGGAATAGAGAAGCTCACCAATAGAGAGGAAGGGGGTGGGATCGCTGAATAAAAGCATAGAGACCAGTGTCCTGTGGTAAGGAATAGTGACAATAGGAAACAAGTCAGCTGGATGAACTTCATGGAGAAGTTCAAGGTCTATGGGTCAATTAGGGTTATGTTATAAAAAGCTATTGATTATCAGACTCAAATTTTTGGAAATCTGAAGGAGACAATCGAAGTCTGAGCAAGAGTAAAGGGACAACCTAGAACTTGAGGAAGTTTAGTACAGTACCGGTGGGCAGGCTGGGTTGCAGGAGGGGGAGGCCAGATGCCAAGAGATCAATTAGAATGATGTGTGGGCCATGAATGAAAATAAGATAGAATCCTTGCTATGTGTTTATAGAAAATGTACACTGGCATGTGTGTAAACCTGTGAGTAATTCTTGAAACTGCAGAGGCAAACAATTAATACCTATCATAGTGGTTCTCTTTTAGTCTTCCCATTTAAAGGTCTTTAATATTTAAATTTCATTTCCTTTTCTCATAAAAATTTATTTGCTTATGCTATATCCATTTACAAATATACCATAATAGAACATATATACATATATATATGTATATATATATATATATACACATATATATACATATATATTCACATATAGTCTAAATAATATTTTGAAGAAGAAAACAGGACACAATAGTGGTAATTTTTTAATATTTTTCTGTTCAGGCAAAATTTTGTCTCTATCTTCTTTATGACACTGTTTCCTTGAAATTGGGTCTGGGACTATGACTCTCTTGGAACAATGAAACATAACAAGTAGCCACGTTATGATTTCCTGGGCCCTTTCTTTGCCTCTGCCACTGGTATGTTAATTTTAGATAGAAGACATTCTGACTATGTAAGTCAAAGAGAGAAGAGACGCAGAGCTCTCATCACTTGACTGTGATGGTTACAACAAGCAAACTTTGTTTTTAATGAGCCACTTAAATATGGACATCATTTTTTCTGCAATATAGCCTAGCCTAGTTTTATTAATACAAGGGCTAGAGGACTCAGTAGAATAATACACTTTTCAGATTGATTTATTAAGAGAAGAAAATTCAGTCTGGAGACTATTACATGTCCTCTGCAATTAAAAAGAAATCAGATTCCATAAATAAAAAACAAACAAAAAAAAAGACCAGAAAACCATTTAAAAATATATCATGTCTAACGATAACAGGTTGAGAAGAACAGAAAGCATGTTTTAAAAAAGAAAGAATTCTAATAATGTTAAAATAATATATTAGTGTTAAAATCTATTATACAGAGATAAATACAAATGAACACAATTAAAGGGAAGATGAATATGTGGAGATCAAGTAAGAAAAAATGAACAGAACTAATATTCAAAGACATTGCTAAAGAAAATGTGTTTGCATTGAACTAAAACAAAATATGTTGGCAAAATGGAAGAATTCGCAAATTGACATCATGTCAATTTACCTGGCAACATTCTTAACAAAAGAACAAAAATAGCTTAAGATCTTGACTTGTTTCCAAATTATGCTTTGTGGTTTATAATGAGGAATCTTAAAGTCTACTGCTCAAAGAACTTCAAAACTTCTGGAAAGAGTAATTTTCAATCAACCCATATGTAATATATCTTCTTTCCTAATAATTAATCAACATAATAGAAACAACTTCCTCCTCTAGAACTCTTACTTGTTGCTTAACAACAAGTATAGCATCTGGTTTATGTGCCAGCAGAAACAGGATTCCTTCTCCCCCTGCCCCTTTCCCATCCCAAATCTACTCCTAGCACATCCCTCTTTCTATTCAGTTACCTTCTTTGTTATAGGATTCTTGACCTTAGTTTTGTAATTACTTCATTGTGTGTTGTTTTTAATTGTGTGTCATTACCTACTCATTATAATCAACAGAATTATACAATTTCCAGGAAATAGGGGAACTCTTCTGGGTGCTCAGCTTTCTTCTTAGGTAGTCCATCATGGTTCAACTTAATGCTGGGCCTCTTTCTGTCTGGTAGCACATGTGACCATCAGTCTTTATCCTCCTTCCTTGCCTTGGTACAGTTCCTAAGCTTTCCTAGGACTCATCAGCACCCATACTTCCCTACTTACACTATAAGAGAAAATAGGTACCTCTATTCTTTAGGAAAGTTTTGCTTAAAAGACAAAATAGACCCCCCCACACATGTCAACAGAAGGTGAAAACAATAAAACACGTGGCTGGACACAGATGCCTCATTATGAAATGCTAGATAATAACAGAGTCCAAACAGAAGAAACTGAGAGCAAAGTACCATGAGCCAATTTGCATAGTCAAATTGTCCATGTGCCAAAGAAAAGAAAGACAGTCGCTGTGGCCTGCCTTCTTAAGAAGACTTTTAAGGAAATTCATTTGACCAAAAAGCGAAAAAAAAAAAAATAAGGGTAATGTCATGTCAACTACAAACTAGTTAAACAGAGTGAAGCCCCAACAATTTTCATAAATATGATTACTGGCTATGAAAATTCTCCCTGAATAAGATACAGGGTAGAAACTGTATACTTTGATCCCCATCCCAGAATAAGGTAGCACATACCAGTGAGATATTTTTATAGAGACAGAATGACAGGCTATAAATTTCTCCTTTTACACACAGGGACCCAAAGGATACTATTTCATTCTTGACTTTTCATAATCAGAAAAATGTAAGGATGGATTGTTAGATTGTATTCATTTCTTTGACTCATCAGTAACAAGATTTAAAACACTGACTTGTAGAATGACTTGAAACACAAAGAAGGAAGTGGTATATAAAGAAATTTTATTCAAATCCCAATTTTTCTGACTTTGAAGTATTTCTCAATTTTATTCCCTGTGTTAGAACAAAATTCCTTCCTGAATCTTCTAGTTTTAAGTACATACTCACAAAATCAGCTTCAGTCTATGCTTTTATTCTTCATTTACCTAAGAAAATCACATTCTGCTACCCAGCCCCGCCTCTGCCCTGGTTTCCCAGGTGACAATCTTCATATTGTCTGCATTAAAACATTGTCTACCCATCTTTGTAAAAACAAGGCACACGGCACCCAGAAAAATTATCCATTTCTCCCAGGTACTTAATCCAGGGAAGTAATAAGCAATATTCCAGGTGCTTCTACACCTGCTTCCTATTTTTCCCAAGTTGCTCTGATATCTAGCTCTTGATATAATGCCTCCTTAAAAAGAATCTTTCCAACAGCTAATGTTCCCACCCTGTCTCCTCACACTAATAAAAGCAAAAAACAGAATAATATTATCGGTGTAAAAACAGCAACTGAAAGAAACCCAAGGCTGCACTGGCAGTATTTCTGTTTGGATTGTGATATCTATTTGCCTAGACTGTTACTTCTCTCAGGCTAGTGCCTAGAGGTATGTGCTAATTTGCCAGGCTGTTTTAATATTTAGTGAGAAGCCACAGTCGACCAATAATTTTTAATGGCCTGTCTTCTATTGATTTCAACTCACACATTAAAGGGCCTAATAAAAATTTTAAAAGCATAGGTGAAGGGACATAAGGACAACAGAAAGTTAATAGCTTTGTCCACCTCCATAGAAAGGGAACAAGAGAATTGTTTCAACTTATATGCAAAATATGAATAATAATAAGACAACTGCTGATTATACCATCTCTCCGAAATGTTTTTTTAAGATAGCTTGCACAATGGGTTTTTGTTTTGTTTTGTTTTGTACATCCAAACCACTTGTAGACCCAGCAAAGAAATTAAAAATAAAACAAAATTCTTGACAATTAAAACACTACAATTGTTGACCCACACAACCCCTCACATTCCTCCACCTCAGACTGTCTCATTCCAAGAGTTCAAAGACACAAAATACAAAGTAAGAAAAAAAAATGGAAACATATTTTGTAGTTTCACAATCATGCACAAGAAGCTCCCAGAAGCCTGGGCCAGATGCTTTATGAAAGATTGGGATCCCTCTTTTCCCTCTTTGACTTGGGAACAAAGGAGGTAACTAAACCTGCTGATATGTATTTTCGAAGGAATGAATTTATTCTGAAGTAGCCTTGAAACTTAGCATAGGAAACAAGTACCATTAAAATATTTCTTTTAGATTATGGATGTTTTGGCTTTCCAAAACATAGAGATAAATTAAGTACTCGTTTAAGCTACAAACTCTCCATAAATTGTGCTATTTAAGCCTGTGCAGTAATTCACCCTCTCTTTATATTCTCACATCTGTTTAGGTTAGAATGAAACCTAGAGGGTGATTTCTCTTGGGTAAAATACCAGGAGACTGAGGAAAACTGAACAATTATGGGCATTTAAACCAGGAGTATAAGGGAAAGGGGCAATATTCAAAGACAGATCTGTGCCCTTGGTAACTCTACCAAGGTGCAGATCCCTATATGTGCTGAAAGATGTTTTTAGGGAAATCAAAAATGGTGCAGTGAAAGGATTTATTTTTTTTACAACATTGAAGCAGAATTTAACAGGCTTCTATCAAAATCAATATGTTCAGAAGAAGACATGTACCTTCTTACTCACCAGCAAGATGTTTCTTTATCCCCTACAGGTCAAGCATAGTGCTGAGAAGCATCAGGGGGGGAAAGGCATAATTTCTTTCTCAAAGATAATTTCAATTTGTCAGTAAAAGAAAAACACACTCCAGTAGAGAAAGCAAAGTGATATTCCAGTAGGGCTCTCTGCTGGGCTCTGAGGATTAGGCAGAGTGAGTTCATTTGAAATATACTAGTGAGTCACAATGGGAGTATCTATTGCATGTTCAAGGCAGCTGAGGCCTCAATCATGCTGTGGTAGGGTCAGTAAACCTTGACAAACTTTAAAGACAGAAACCTAGATGGCAAGAAGGTCATGAGACACAAGGCCAGACTCCACAAGGCATTGTTAGGAATCACGGTTTAAAAATCCTGATCAGTCCTTAGTAAAAGAATTCAAATTCTAAATTAATATGTCCACGAAGAGCCACTTAGTTTTGCTTGAGTAGAATAGCAATGTAAACGTTTAATCTGGGGGACATTATGTTAAGTGAAATAAGCCAGGCACATGAGGACAAATACTCCATGATCTCACTTATATACTGTATTGGGGTTCTCTAGAGGAAAAGAATCAACAGGAAATATAATTAGAAAGAGGAGGACTTATTAGGTGGGTTTATGTGACCAGAAGCTGGATAGTCAATGATAGCCATCTGCAGGCTAGAGAGCTGGAAGGACTAGTAGCTATGCAGCCCAAGAGTCTGAAGCCCCAGAACAAGAGGGATCAATGGTGCTACCCTAGTTCGAGACTGAAGGCTTCTGGATTGTCACTGTCAGAGTTCACTTTGAAAGATCGAAGAAGTGAGAGTCCAATATCCTCAGACAATGGACAGTAATCCAGAGCCCATTCAAGAAGAATTGAGCTTGCATCTGCTGCTGCTTCCTTGTTCTTCCAACTTTTATTTCATCCAAGTCATCATCCTATTAGATGGTGATGCCCACACTTAGGGAGGGTCTCCATTTCAGTTGGCTATCGCACATGCCAATCAGTCCTAGACATACCCACCCTCATTGACACACCCAGAAGCCTCTTCATCCTTGGCATCTCTTAATCAAGTTGAAAATTCAAATTAACCATTACATATATGAAATCTAAAATTATAGATTTCATAGAAGCAAAAAGTAGAAATGTGGTCGGTAGGATCTGGGGACTATCTAATCAATGGACATTAAGTTTTAGTTACACAAGATGAATTAGTTCTGGAGAACTGCTATAAAACAAATAATAGTACTGCATTGTACTGTTAGGACAATAGGTCTCATGTTAACACTTCTTACCAAAATAAAATTAATTTTTTTAAAGGAAAAGTATTTGGAAGAAAGTCCTATTTGACCAAAACCAGCGTAGAGAAGTAAGAGAGAGCTCAATTTCACTTTAAAGGTTGAAAGCTATTGGCTTCATAAGAAAAAAAAATGGTACTAGTAAAAAAAATTGATGACATTTTTTATGCAACATGTTTGTCAAGATATCTCAATGTGACAAACATAATACAGGAGAGATTTCTATCAATTTACTTTTATGGGATGTTCTCAACAGATGATAATGTTATCATAGATGTGTTGTATTGACAAAATGCACCTTAGAGACTATGACTTTGCAATCTTCATTGAACCACACGCAGAGGTGTAGGTGGTGTTGGGGTCAAGCCTGTAAGTTTTGTTGCTCAGAAGTGTTCTGAGATCTTCTCACAACTACAGAAAATCCAGATAAGAAAAAAAAATGTCAAGTTCTTGTATGGATTAAGATAGGTTAGTGTCTTAGTCTGTTTTTCTGTTGTTTTAAGAAGACATCATTAATTTAATATGCACCCAGAGGTATGTGGCTTAAGAAGGTAGGGGAAAACTATTTTCTTATCAACATTCACTTTTACCTTGAGGAGATCAAGGAAAATCCCATTCAACTGGCTTCAAGTCGAGGGTTTTCAAATATATTTCATTTGAGCTCCTTCTGGATTCTACCTTTTGGCAGAAGCAAGAAATGAGTTCTGAGTATGGTTATCCCTAAATTTATAAGAGATAAGTGTTTATCCAGTTGGGTGTGAGGGAAGAAGGAGAGAAAACAAGGCAGTTTCTGATTTTGCTAGAACTATTTGAAATATTTGCTACGTGAATTCTCTGCAGGAAAAATTCTCTAAGGATCAGCAAATGGCTGATAAGAAACAAATGTTCTTTCTTATTAAATTGTATCCCTTCCCTGAATCCTTGAGGTTTTTTCCTTCTTTTCTTAGTTTTTGTTTGTTTGTTTGTTTGGTACTGGGGATTGAACTTAGGGGTGCTTTACCACTAAGCCATATCCCCAACCCTTTTTTATTTTGAGACAGAGTCTTACTGAATTTATGGAGGCTGGCCTTGAACTTGTGATCTTCCTGAATACAGATGTGCATCACTGTACCAGACTTTTGTGTGTATGTCTGTGTGTACGTGTGTGTGTGACACACAAATGAAAATGTCACATCTTCAACTCTTGGATTGGCTTGATGTAGAGTAATGTTAAAGTAGAGACTGATGATAGAATACATTAAGATACATTAAGATAGTATCTTGTACTCTTCATTCATCTATCCCTTGCAAGGAAAAATTTAAAAAGAAATTCAAATTAAACTGAAGGAATTGATGATCAGTGACAGTTTCTACAGAACTCTGTGGAAATCAATTAAAACAAAAGCTGAAAACTATCTCAGGCCATAATCAATAACATGATGAGACTAGGAAAAAATTGCAAGTTTGAAGCTATATCCTAAACCTGTTACTTAGATAAAATGCAGAGGCCTCTCATATCCCACAGCACCAATCTGGAGAACTATTAGTGTTTTGGGAGGCGAGAACTAGAGAATAATTGTTGCTGTTTGTTTATTCTTGACAGTTTTTAAAGGACAATTTCTCTTGGGGGATAATTTTTGTTTTCTACTTAGAAATTTGTTCTAAATCCAAGACCATTCCAGGAAAAGTTTTTGGCTCTACCTTAAGCTTTGGCAATGGACTTTGCACAAACTTGTAAAATCTGTTTCCTTAATTGCTTCAATAGATTATCACTCCTCAAATTCAGAGGTTTAGAAATCCCACTGGATATGAAAAACATTCTGTAAAGGAACAAAAATCTCATATAGACTGGATGCCAATGAAGATAAGATGATGTCCACAGGGTCTCTGAATTGGTCAATCACCATTTTGAGTGTTTTCTGTTTATTGTTGATGTGAGTTTTAGTAAAATGTTTAAAGGATCCAAATGCTTTCTTGAGTTATAGCCCAGTCAAGTTAGGTGCTTAAGATCTGGTTAAGCCCTTGTTGCCAGATTTTCTCAGTGCATTATCCATGAAGCACATGAACTGCTAAGAAAACCCTAATCCTTATTAAAAATTTAAAACTTGGAAAAATAATTTGTTTTGTGCCCAGGAACACTGTTGCCTGTTTGTTTTTGGTATTAAAGGTTTGATAATCTCTAACTTGAAAATTCAAATATAAATAAATACATTTGATACCAACCTTTTGTTTTATTTCAATCTTTGAACTTTGGTAGATCGTTAAGTATATTTTAGGTAAAACAACTGAGAAAGATCAGATACCTGAAATACACTGTTGTAAAATTAAGGTAGAATTATTGTACCCCATTAAAATTTGTAATCTCTTGTTAATGAAGTTTAAAAAGACAGCATATTTATTGCAGCAGAGCTCAGGGAAAGGAAGTAGTAATTATAAGAATATATGCACCAAATCATTATTCCACCTCATCCCTTATGCATTTAAACTCTCTCTCTCTACTACAGAAGTCTTTTGTAATAAAAGTGGAAGATTTTGATTGCCTACTTAATGTAAATTTAGATGCGGTCCACAGCTAGTTTTAAGAGAAGAAAAATCTTCAATTTTATTACCATAGCCCCCAGATTAATTAATAGCAGAAGAGTTAAAATTCCAAATACACGTTAGTCTTGTTAACACATAATTGATTCTAACTCCTCAAAGAGATTTATTCCTTATTATGCCAGGCATCTAGGTTGTAAAACAAGGTAATGTTAGTGTGGAATACAGCACAGCAAAAAGATGAGGTACAGGCTTCATTCAGTTTATTCCTTTTAAGTTAGTTTTAATCATACTAAAAGCAAGCATTTGAGTGTCTATTATCTACAAAGCACTTTATAAGCACCATTTTCTTTAACTCTCACAACCATCCTATGTGGTATTGTGTTAATCAGTTTTCTTTACTGCAAGAAACACCAGAGACAGTAAAGCACAAGTTATATACTTCTGAGATACAATGGTGGGATGGGCAAAGAATGTTCATACACTCCATTTCCAAAAGGGAGGAAGAAAAAAATAGTGAGGGGTCAAAACAATGCAAGACCAAAACCTATCAGGGCAAACAGCACACCCTACAATTCCATGGCAGGCATCTGTGTAGGCACTGTAATGGGATGTGGGTTCCCAAGAACTCGGTTAGCTTCACCCCTATAGTAGTGCAGGTTGCATATCACACAACTGCTCATTTGGGCAGGTTCCACACACTGCCTGAAGCTTCCATGGAAGGCATTTCAAACTCCTGGAACCTCTAACTTTTGGGGGTCTCCACTGACATTTTAGATTCACTCATAAAGCTCCATGCATCACTCTATTTGTAGCTGCTTTCAAGGACTACAACCCTGCCATATACTGCCTGACCTACCAGGCTCTCCTTTGAAATTTCTGGGGAAGCCTCCATAACTGCACAACATTTACATTATACACACCTACAAAATCAGCATCATGTGGATGACACCAAGGTCTGCAGCTGGCCTGTGCTGTACTAGAGACTTCTGGAGCTGTGGTGCCTTGCCAGCTTAGGTAGTCCTGAGTGAACAGGGTATCCCAGGACTCTTTTCTCAAAACACTTTGCTCTAGAAAGTCCTTAAAATAAATGTGTATTTCTACATCTCTGGACCTGCTATGGATGTAATGGTTCGAGTTTCTGAGTTGCTCTTGGGGAACCTTTTGTATTGTCTAGATACAAAGCACTTGTCTTCTTCTTAAGGATGCTCAGCTGTTTGATGCTCTCCTTGGCTGCACATTTACATGAATTTCTTTCTGGCCAAACTGCATGTTTAACAAATATTTTAATTCAATTTCTGTTTGCTCCTGATGCTCACAGTAAACTGGCTAAAAGTAGCAGTAATACCCTTGCTAAAGAGTTAATATTGTGCTGCCTTGAAATTTCCACCAGTAGATAAACTAGTCTATCACTTTT